TATATATGGTATATGGTGTGGCACTGTGGGCTAATGGGCCAGACTGCAAAGCCGTTTGAACTACAAGGTCGGCAGTTCGAGCTCACCAGCTGCTCCTTGGAAACCCTATACAGGGTTGCTATGGTTAGGAACTGACTTGATGGCACTTCACAACAACAACAACTATCTCATATGAGATAGAGAAGGAGAGAAAGTTTTAATTTTAAAATCATTTTAGATTTATAAAAAAGTTGCAAAGCTAGTGCAGGGAATTCCCACATAGCCCACCTCTAGTTACCCCTGTGGGTCACACTTCACATTAGTGTGGTACATTTGTCACAACTGAGGAACCGATATCGATACATGGCTACTAACTAAAGCTTATACTTTATTCAGATTTTTATGTTTATTCAGACTTGGGTCTTTATATAGAGAACTCACTGTTCTGTAATAAAAGTGAGAGAAAGAGGGAAGTAGAGAGGAAGAGAGAGTCAAAGAGACAGACAGAGAGACAGAGACCACCCCCAGCAATGACTTTCAGCACGGTTACCTTCTCCTCGGGCAGACTGGCAGGCAAACTCAGATCTTTGACGTTTGGGAACTCTGGCAGCAACGTTCCAAGTTTGGACCGGGGTGAATACGCCACTGTCTGTTTGCTTACTTCTTTCTTCCCTGTTTCGCTCACCCAGGCAGCTCCTTTCTTGGAGTACATCACATCATAATATTGGGAGCTTTCCTTCACTGCAATGCCGTAGTAATGGTACCTGGGCCACAAAGAGACAAAGACCCTCGTACGTTGTTATCCGGGGGGCTTCCTGGGTGGGGTGCTCAGGGTCCATCCTCCCAGGGGTCAGCAGAGTTAATGCTCCTAAAAGGCTTGACTTCTTTGAAATTTAGAATTAAACCAGAGTTCCATGTTGCCAGCCATCAATCAAGCAGGTAAAAATCACCAAAATTGCCTCCTACACAAAATATTAAGTCAAACACTTTGCAAAGCAGAAACGGGGATGAAACATTTTCCTATTTATACTTTACCTCTTATTTCTGGCCAAATGTGATCTCAGGGGCAGAACACTTGAGTATCCCCTGGTGCCCCCTGCCCCCTGCCCCCCAACGTCTGTGATGCCCAGGGCAGAAGGATTTATGACTGCTGGCTTCGCCACCAACAAAAATCCATTTGGCCTATGTATTCTTGATTAAAACACCAAAACAAACAAAAAAGCCCAGTAGTTTCAAAGACAGCATTTCTAAAAAGATGAATTTAGTGCTTCAGCTGACACTAAATGTAAAACAAAGAGCAGAACTTTTTGTAACTTCAAGATGAGCTTAATAATGGAAATGCTTTCAATTAAGATTGATGAGATGGGGGTTACATTATGTTCGGTTTCTAGCTACAAGCTATTGGGCACTTACTTTGCACCAAACGCGTTGCAAAATATTTTACGGAGAAAATAACCTTATGAACCCACTGCTGGTTGCCGTTGGGTCAGTTCCAACTCACAGCGACCCTAGAGGACAGAATGTAATGAATTGCCCTATGGGGCTTCCAAGGAAGCAGACGGCCACATCTTTCTCCCTGCGAGAGGCTGAGGGGTTTCAACAGTCAACCTTTCAGTTTGCAGGTGAACGCTTAACCACTGTGCCACCACGCTCCTTAACCCTATGAAATGAGCATTATTATAGAAGGAATTGGTAATTTAATGATAGTGTGGTTTGTTGTTGTTGTTGTTGTTGTTTGCTTTCTCTGTGGGAAACCTGGTGTGACTTCTGACCAATGCAGCTCATGAGCACCTATCACCTGGTTGTCATTGGAGGCTTGTGTGTTGTTGGGATGAGAAGCAGGTTTCAGTGGCACTTCTAGACTAAGATGAACTAGGAAGAAAGGACTGGCAATCTATTTCTGAAAACCATCCAGTGAGAACCCTGTGGATCCCAACGGTCTGATCCGCAGCCGATCCTGGGGCTAGGGTAGGACTGGGCAGCATCTTGCTGTGTTGTGCATGGGGCCGGCTTGATGGCAGCCAACAACAGCTTTCTACAGATGAGAAAATGGGAGCAAGAAAGCAGAAGGAATTGGCTCAAGGTTATATATCTGTTTAGTGATCGAACAGCTTCTCCAATGCAGGTCTGTTTAACTACAAAGTCACGATTACTATACTAAGAGAGAACTCTGCCCCGGTGGGATTATAAACTTTGATGTTTGTCAGAGTCACTTGTGGAGGTGAATACAAATCCAGATTCCTAGGCCCCTCCCCAGACCTATTGATTCAGGACATCTGGGAACCATAGGTTATCTGATGCACACCAGTTTGAAGTCCACTAGCCTGTAATCGCAAATGTAATAGTAAACGTAAGGGTTTAAGCCAAATTCCCAGCTTGACTGGAGCCCAGTCATTGGCGATACTGTCGTCAAATCAACTCTGGCTCAAAGTGATCCTATGGGACAGAGTAGAACTGCTCCTTTGGGTTTCTGAGACTGTCCATCTTTACACTCCTGGTGTGGTGCTGTAGGATAAGCACTGGACTGTGAACCTCAAGGTCAGCAGTTCAAATCCCCCAGCCACTCCTTGGAAACTCTATACAAGGTTGCTATGAGTCTGAACTGATTTGACGGTACTTAGCAACAAATCTTTACAGGTGCCGACGGCCTCATCTTTCTCCCACGGAGCTAAGCTGCTGGTAGGTTTCAACAACCCATCTTGAGGTTAGCAGCTTAACCCATGGCAGCACCAAAGCTCCTTTTCTGGTGTTATCTATTAACTGGGTAATATGATGCTTGACATATGCACCAACCCAAGCCAAACACACTCCTTGTTTAGGGTTTCCGAGACTGTAAATCTTTATGTGAGCAGAAAGCCTCATCTTTCTTCTTCAGAGCAGCCGATGGGTTTGAATGGCCAACCTTGCGGTTAGCAGTAGTCCGGTGTTTATCCTACAGTGCCACCAGGGATCCCTGGACATATATACAAAGGGGCTTCAAAAAGTTCATGGACAAATGGAATGAAAAGATAATGTCATTTTTCCACAAATTTTTTTAAGCCCTCTCGTGTTACCTTCTTCAGTCTCACAAAATCCGTGTTAAGACCAAAACTGAACATATCCCCTATTTTACAGAACCAGGATCATCCAATTAAGAAATATTTGACCACTAAGCCGATATCTAGGAATCACCGACAAAATATAATGAAATAGACTCCTGAGCCCCACCTCCTAAGATCCCAATTCAGCAGGTCTAGAGTGGATTTTTACAACCGTAAGGCAATACTGATTTCAGTAATTCATGGACCTTACTTTCAGAAACATTGAACGACATAATAGCCGCTTTTCCCTCCCGTGGAGATATGGTGATATTAATGAAATAAGACATACGAGAAAGCATTTGGAGTTATGGGAATGGCTTTCACAGGGTTGGAAGAGATGGTCACATAAAACCTTCCCTCTCCCCACTCCCCCCTGCTACTCCTGATACCATTCTGTGAAATTTCTGCTTAGCGGACATGGAGTCTCTATCTGAATCCCTCCTGGGATGAAGAACTCAGACCCGCCGAAGGCAGTCCAGTCCATTTTAAGTCGGGATAGTTATCAGAGAGTTCTCTGTGTCCAGCTACTATCTGGCCTTCTATTTCCAACGGTCATAACTGCCTTTGGTAGGGGCTGGGGGAGGGGAACGGGTTCTGGAAGCTTCAGTAAGGACCCTTCAGATGGGAAGGCAGTTAGGAACTCTCCCCTTGATTATCACAAACCTCTCTGTAACTTTGTAAGCTCAAGGTAGTGGTCTTGTTACCCCAGTCAGACCACTTATTGATTATTCAGAGAGCGAATACTGCTAAAATCAACACCTGGAGTTACGGGATGATTGATCACTTTTCATTTTCTGTATTTCAGTTCAGGAGGATGCGACAGCCTCCACCTGCCACACCCCCCAGGATGCCTTCTGCCGATGGAAATTTGCAGAGGGAATTCCTCTATAATGCTGAGTCGCAAGTTGGAGACTAGAGTTGCTTCTTCTTGGTTGAAAGTGTAACTAACCTCGGAGGATTCTTATGGTAAGGATGGCATTAAACTGGTTCCTCAGAAGTCCCCAAGAAGATATTTTCTAACCTACCAGAGCTCCTCATTTTAGACAAAGTTTTTTTCTTTTCTTTTCTTTGTCTTCTTCAGGAAAGTCACTTTGGGAAATTATTAAGAATTTATTCCAAGACGTTCCTTGTTCAAAAAATTTCTGGAAGTCTTTTTTTGAAATCACCCCCAGAGCTTCTGAGCCATGCACACAAAATGTCAGTGGCATTATTTTCAAAATTTAACCCAAAAGAGGTTTTTCCTCTCCGTTTTCTTCATCAAACTTGGCTCCAGAGTGAAATCCACCTGGGAGGAAGGGAAGGTGTACTGCCAGGGATGAGGAGGATTTGGGGTAAGGGGTGTGGGAGGTGGTTGCTCACGGTGACAGTATTGGATGTGCTATAAGCCATTTATGGTTGTTAAAAAAAAAAGTTCCAGTATTTGATAAGCCAGTAGGATAAGCACTGGACTGCAAGGTCATTTGAATTGTAAGATTGGCAATTCAAATTCTCAGACTTACCAGCTGCTTCTTGGACACCGTATACAGAGTCCTATGAGTTGGAACTGACTTGACAGTACTAACAGCAACAACATGTGATGACTTTGTAAACATGGCCAACATGGTTGAGAAATGCCACACGATACAGCTCCCTCTCGAGCTCTTGTGAGGAGTCCTAGTGTGGCACTATAGGATAAGCACTGGACAGCTAACCACCAGGTTGGAGGTTCAAACCCACCAGTCACTCCTCATAAGCTCTACACAGGAATCAGAGGTTGGCAGATCAAACCCACCAACTGCTCTCAGAAACCCTATATAGGATTGCTGAGAGTCAGAACTCAACAGCACACAACAAAACAGTCTAGCTATGGGGAGCCTCTAGCACGACAAACCATTAACTTGCTCTACTGCTAACCTAGCAGTGTAGGTAAAGATTTTCTTGCCACTAACTCACACCTAGGAGACCATGGTCCACACACATCCTCCTTCTCACTCAGGTCTTAGCTTAAATGTCACCTCCTTAGAAGCCTTCCCCGGCTACTCTTTCTAAAGTAGGCCAACCAACCAACTGCTGTTGAGTAGACTCCTGGCGAATCCATGTGTGTCAGAGTAGACATATGCTCCACAGGATTTTCAATAACCATGACCTTTTGGAAGTAGAATGCTAGGCTTTCCCTGCAATTAACAGCTGAGCCACGAACTACTTACACTGCCCAATCTCCTTAGTGTCCACTACCACCCTCTTTATCTCCTGTTTGAATTGGATCTTCCTTTTTATTGGTTTACTCTTTTATTGTCTTTCCCACAGAATGTATGCTCCATGAGGACAGACACTTGTGCACGCCTGTGTTCTCCACTCCCAGCACCATGCATGTGACACACAGAAACTGTGAAGCAAATTTTGACTGGTTGGTTGACCAGAAATGCCCCTCTCCAGTGTAGAGATTAGTATAGCTTGCTATCCTGGCAGGCTGGAGACTATCAGAACAGATAGGTTGCTAAGCAAAACAGTCTAAGCAACTGAGAGATTGTCCAAGAAGCCTCAAGATGACTATTTTACAAAGAAGCATAGAGGCAGAATGATGACACAAAGCTATGCTCCTTAAAGCAACTGGGCCAGGTGGCCCCTGGGACTTGTCTTCTTGCTCAGGGGCCTGGGAGGAAGGTCCTGACTGCTGTAAGATCCGCTGTGCTCTCTCTCAGTACAGCCGTCACTCCAGGCCTGCCAACAGAGCTCCAGATGAAAGGGTGGGATCCGGTCCTGGTCTTGAGGTCCAGAAATGCATGCTCTACAGGTGGAATGACCGTCTGGTACTTACTTTGACTGTCCTCGGGTCCCGAGTCTTCTGGTCGTTAACTGAGGAAACTGCTGCCGAATGATCTGTAAGCCAACACAAAAGTCGGTTACCCACTGGAGACAGTTGGGAGCATGCTCAGTGAAATTTACAAAGGGCACCAGTTAAAGAAATGAGGAAAACACATAACTTTGCTCACAATGGCTTGTCAGGAGGCCATCTGGATCTTGGGGGTGACGACGGGTGCTGGCGAGGACAGCGCTGGGATGCCTCTGGGGCTCAGGATCTTGAGGGTCACTCTACTGTACTCTAGCTTCCTACTCGGCAACACAGGACGCCAGAACAGTCCTGTCATCAAGTCCTCTTGTTAAAACCCTCCATGGCTTCCAACTCACTTGGAACCAATGCCCATACTTAGCCTTTGCCGTCTGCTCTGTGCTCCTGGCCTTCCATCCCCATGACCCTCAGCCTCCACCAGATCCCAGCCACACACAGGTTTTCTTTTCTACTCCTGAAACACACCATGGCCTTTGCACTGCTGTTCCCACTGTCTGGAATCCCATTTAACCCATATACTAGCAAGATTGTCTCCTCTTCTGAACACGTTGGGGCTGCTGGTCTATGTCCCTCTGCCCAGGATACTCCAAGCAGCCAGTCCAGAGAGGCACAAGCAATGACTCGTCATTCCCTGGTCTGGCTTTACATTTTTTGTTGTTTTTTTAGCTCAATCAGAGACGATCCTCTTTGTACCCCTGCAGTTTACTGTGTGGCTCCTCCCACTCAAATGTAAGCTGCTTGAGAGCAGGGACCTAGCACAGGGTTTGGCCCCTGCTAAAAGCTCAATCCAGATTTGCTGAGTGAAGGACTGAAGTTCAATCCCTGCCTCAGGTGATGGTTGTAACTGTTGTAGCCCAAGGCAATCGCACAGATTTGCAAGAAACATAGAAAGGGGAGACATCTCCCAGCTGTGAAAACAGAATAAAGAGATAACTTTTGTGAAGAAACCTTGTCCCTTTGAGGTGTGTACAAGGACTTTGGAGCTGAGCCATCTTGTTAGTTGGGTACCGTTGGCAAGTTATTTAACCTTCAAATGACTCCGTGTTCTCATTTATAAACTGGGAATGATAATAGACCCCACCTTAGGGAATTCTTGTAAAAATGTAGTAAAATGAATACCTGTGGTGCCTGGCACTTAGTAAGTACTCAGAAACTTTTCATTGCATTACCCCTGACTGTCCTGATGACTCATGCCTTTACTTCCAGGGGATTTTTCTCTTATTTGCAACCAAATTCTTCCCAACACCCGCCCCTTGTAGTACAGCCTGGCGGGAAGGCGGACCCCCTGCACACAGTTCTCCCTGGAAATAGAAGTGGTGGCTGATTTCCCATGAGTGCTTTCTCTAGAGGTGGGATGGGTTTCCATGAACCTGTCCACACCAACAGTCCCACGGATTGATTTACTCATTCATTCAATAAACATGTGCTCTGTGGCCCTGCCAAACACTGGGACTTGGATTGCTTTTGAAGCTTCTCAATGTCTCAGTGTCTTCAGCTGAAGTCTGGAGACACAGTGAGTTATGGAGGAAGCTGAAGGACAGGCAATGGTGACCTCAGCTAACGTGGCATCAGTGGGAGGGAGACAAGTGGCCAAATTAGAAATTCAGAAGCTGGGATGGATCGGTAATGTGGAGACTGACCATTTCTCACTTAGGAAACTGACCATCTCCAGTGTGGGACATCACTTATCTGAAAATGGGCAAGCTAAGATTCATTCCTCACATAAATGGTTAGACAATCTAAGGTGGTAGCATCACAAAACCATTTTGTGACCTTTAAGAAATGCACAGCCCTGAATCCTTCACCTCTACCTCGATCGTGTCAGATGATTTTTAGGTCCCTCCGAACCTGGGTTTCTCATTTGTCTGTGTCCCTCTCAAATGATCATGTCCTGAGTTAAATGCAATATTAGGATAGGGTCTAACCCAGGTGCCAGGAACAGTGCTCTCTAAGCACTCTGTGCTGTTAGGCAGTTGAAACCACATGTCTTAATCCTGAGTTTGAATGAACCTTCCATCAAGTTCATCCTCCCGATTTCCACCATAAAGGTAAGCTGCTGAAAGCCTGCAGATATGTCAGTAGAGAGAGAAGAAAATAGAGAAGTGGGGAAATGGAGCCAGAGATGCTACACAGGGATTAAAAATGGGCTCTAGGTTGGGTTCTAAGCTTTCTACTCACCCAAGCAAAGACGGTGATACAAGAAGTTACAAGAGTTCCAGTATTCATAAGATTCAATCAAACTAGCTTAGGAAAACCAGAGACTTTCCTGACATTTAGATCTGGGAATTCTCCCTCTGCTAATGGGCACAACAATGAGTTACCACGTTTAACTCTTTGGTATTAGCATATATTTTAAAAATATTTACTACTGTCAATATATTCATAGACGGATGATGACATTCTTAATACTATCCTTCCCTCAAACATTTTAACAAACATCAAGATCCATAAAATGTTCATAAGCTTTGATATATCAATTCCAAGGAAATAAACTAAGAGAAATGTATGTTCATGGCTACTAATGAGAGTGAAAATTGGAAATACCAAACATCAAATGACAAGATACTGGTTAAATGGTAGTACATGCACTCAATATGGAGCACTGGTAATAGAGTGGTTACGAGTCGGTCAGCAATTTGAAACTTCCAGCTGTTCCGAGGGAGAAAAGATGTGGCTTTCTGCCCCCATAAAGATTTACAGCCTTGGAAACCATATACAGTTTGGAACTGACTCCACGGCACATCATCATCACACTCAATAGTAGATGTGTAATCACAAGAAATGATGGTGACAAGAACTATCCCAGGACAGGAAATGCTGGCAGTGATATTAAGTGGAAGAGCGGATATCAACACAACATTTATGCTAATAGAAACAAAGGGAAAATGGAAAAATAAAATTGGATATTAGGCTAGTAGGATTGGGAGTGCACAAAACATTTTTGTATTAAATCAAATTTTTTAATAGAAAAAGAGTTTATGGTTATAAATATTAATTACAAATTGACAAAAAATAAAATTCAACATAATCTTAAAAGAAGCCGCAAAAATCTACCAGAATATTATAATGTTTGTTTCTCTTTTCTCTTTATCCTTCTCTTTTTTTAAAAAAACAAATCACTCCCTATTCTGTACAAACAATGTGTAGATAATAAAAGGAAGTGGCATTATTTTCTTTGGTTGTTAAACTTTATTATGACTGGAGTTAAGAGAATGGGCAAAGTTCCGATACCTTTCCAAAAGTATTTATCTGAGTGGTATCCCACGCAGCATCCAGAGCGCACAGGCACCGCCGCTGACCTGGCCCTGGCGGAGGACTCTGGTCTACACATGCCAGAGGGGAGCTGGGAAAGGACAGCAGACCCCCTGGAGCCGTGTGCTCCTCCACAGGTGAGAAAATGTAGCATTCCTTTCATTCTGATCTTGTGGAATTACCACTTTATAGAAATAGCTTATGAATTTACCGATCAATTTAACCAATGAATTCCACATATACATTTGTATAATATTTTGATCAATATGAGTAGTTTTACCTGTCCTCATGGCACAATGGGTTAAGTGTTAGGCTGCTAACCTCAAGGTAGGCAGTTCAAACCCACCTGCTCCTCCGTGGGAGAGAGATGAGGTCGCCTGTTCCCAGTGGAACAGAAACCCAGTAAAACAGCTCTTTCTGTGAGTTGGAACCGACTCACTGGCAGTGGGTTTTCTCTGATAGCATAGTGGTTATGAATCGGGCTGCTAATCTCAAGGTCAGCAGTTCAAAACTATCAGCGGTTCTGTGGGAAAAAGATGAGGCTTTCTGCTCCCATAAAGATTTACAACCTCGGAAACCCTATGAAAGGTAGCTATGGGTCAGAATCGACTCGATGGCGCATAACAACAACAACAACAACTCTCCACTGAGTCACCCAAGTCACAAACAGGAGAGTCATCCTTGAGTCTGCTCTCTCCCTAATGCTGCACAAACTGACATCCTGTTGATTCGGCCTCCATGACCTCTCACCTGGACCACAAACCTGAGGTCTTGCTACCTCATCAGCGTGATCTTTCTAAAATGCAAGCATGGTCATATTCTCAGTACTGCCTTCACACTGCGTCCATTCCAGGCTCCTCAGGCTGTTCCAGGAGACCCTCTGTCATGGACCACAGCCCAGACTCCCAGCCTGCACTCTGGCTACTCTTCCCAGAGGCCCCAGTGCTCCAGATGCCTGCTGATCTTGCTGTTTCCTTCGCTTGGAGTCCTGAGCCCACAAGGACTTGTCACCCCTGAGGGTGATCCTCATCCCCCAGCCTCAGATGCTCCTCTGTGTTTTCCTAGTAGGTCAGGAAACACTAGGGCACAGTCTTTAAACCCACAGGCCCTGGGAACAGGCTTGCCCAGGTTCGAATCCTCGCTCAGTCACTTCACGTGCACTTCATATGTGAATCCTTAGAGCAGTCTATCGGCAGGTGTCACTGTGATTACCTTTGTACGGGTGAGTAAACAGAGGCTTAGAGAGGTAAAGGAAGTGGCGCTAGGGCCACATAGCATACAAGATGCAGACCTGGGATTTGAATGAACACAATCTGACCAGTGCAAGGTCGGTGGTTCAAGTTCACCAGCAGCAACTCTGAAACCCTGTACAGTGTCGCTATGGGTTGGAACCGACTCCACGGCACTTAACAACAACAACTCTGACCAGACACCCTATCACAGTGATGCTATTGTCTCTGGAGGGATGAATGCTTCGCAAAGCCCCTCATTCTTTCCTTTCACTATCCATCTAGATTTGTTTTATGTAATCTCCCTGCATTCACACATGGGAGGTTAAGTCTGAAGAGTGAAATGATTTCTTGTTCCCATCTAAGCACCAATGACTGTTTTCAATTCCTCTCTCTCTGACCCTCTTGGGAATGTTCTGATGGCCTCTATTACGAACAGGACCTGAAAGTTCTGCCCCTTTCCTCCCACCTCTACCTCCCCCCCGCCAAACATTCCAGGAAAAGTGGGAAACAGCTGTGAGGCCTGCGACAGCATCAGGACACCCGGT